GCAGGAGACGTGAAAATAACTTCATTTTCATTTTCTATGACATTTTTGTTGTTGTGTCTTTTGCATTCAAGTTTTCTTTCATCTGAATTTCTTTTCATTTAAAGTCAAAGTATGCTAAATTCAAGTTTGTAGTTTGTTTCATTTGTTATAGACTTCTACTTCTAGTCAGTAAACTCAACACCAAGCGAGTGGCTATGACTGTAAAGGAGTAGGCAATTGGTGAATATCACCACGTGAAACTTGACCCTATCATATCATTTTCAACCTTATAAATCCCACACTACAACCATGGATGGTAACCAATTCTAACATATCAGAATGATGAAAACAGTTCTGATCCAATCGCATATTGTATTCAAAACCCAAACTCTCCTCTTTGCCTTACACACACCCACGTCATTGTTGCAAAGTTGGCACCACCGCAGCAATGGGTTCTTCTAGTTTCCTAAAAACTATTGAGGACAATTGGTATTATTAAATTGCTGACTAGGCAACCTAAAAAGAGACATTTTTTCCACTTCCAACATAGTTCTTTAGTTAAATTCATGACATAACTTTTGCAAATTCTTTCTTCTTTTATCTCGAGAAAGCATAAGGAACCAATCCATCACCCCACAAATTCGAAATCATGTAAAAAAAACAAAAAAAAAAACACATTGAATTCCAAACGCATAGTCAACATCGATTTCCTTTTCACCCTTTTCAGCAAATTCATCTAAATATATAACAAATTAGTGAAATATATCGAGAAAGTAGAAGAAATTAATAAATTACACGGGATCGCGATTGCAAATGTCACAGATCTCGACGTTCATAGCCCAATCGGGACCGATCAGCATGTCGCTCGTCGCTCTATCCACCTTCGAATTCCCCATCTTTACTCCTCCTCAAAATAACAACACCAGCCGGAAATCAGTCGGAAATCTCAATCGGGGTCAGAATCTCACCGGCGGTGCAAACTGATCAACAAAATTCAGGTAACTTGCTACAGAGTTTAAAGAAAAACCGGGAATTGACTCCAAGGATTATAGTAGATAATGAGTTCTTGAACTCGTGTAAAGATTTTTAGGAGGAAAATTTGGAATGAATTTAGGTGAAATAATCGTCAATATGACGGTACCGCGTGGAGCCATATTTTGTCACGAGAAGTGCGTCGAATCGCCGACTTTTTGACGTCTTGCTTAGTGGTTTTGGTGGGCCACGTCATCATTGTAGGTCCCACAGTCCACACAACATGTTGACTTTAATGATTTGATTTTCGAATTATTAATTAATAAATAAATTGCACTATTGGTCCCAACCTATCATGAATGTTGATTCTAGGACAAACTGATAAGTGAGGAAACCTTGTGAGCCAGAATCAAAGCCTTTCTTTCCCATGCACGAGATGGCCTTGTCCTCGAATGAAATTTTGATAGATTATAAATATTGACTCGTGAAATTTCAAAATAGTTTGGTATATGTATTTTAAAGTTTGAAATTCGTCAAAATCTTTTAAAATCCACATATTAATGAAATTCTTATAAATCCAGGAATTATTTATTAAAATCTACACTAAAATTTAATGAAAATCAAACAAAATTTCAGTTGGATAATTCTTGATATACATCAAGGTGTCCATAATGGACACCCGGCGCGCTCCCATTGGTGGGGGAGCCGGTCCCGACACCCTGATGTACCCTTTGATATACCACAAGAATGATCCATTTCAGTTAAGGACATCATTTATGATTTTTGATTTATTAATAAAGGGGGAATTGTACAATTGGTCCCCAATCTATTGACGTACATCAACACCTCGTAATCACGAGTCAAACCATGTTACCTACTCCATGGAATCATTCAACTTAGCAAATATGCACAAAGTTCAACAAATAATAATAATAATTTTCTTATATTTAAATTGTAGAATTGGAATTGCATCGACATTTCTTATATAAATCGTGAAATCAAATTGCTACCTCGTATCCATTTTGACACATGGGTTGTTTGAACCCCCGTTTTTTTTTTCAGAAAAATATATTTTACAATAGTGTTATGATGGAAAATGTATGATTAAAAAATAATGAAAATTTTTTGGTTTACGTGTAATATTATTTAATGAAAAACGTATAGTTGAGATCAAATCAAATCACTGTAAAAGAATGCATTTTAATGGGAAAAAAAAAGGGCTCAAATAAGGGCATAATTGTAAATTACGAGCATATTTAAGCATATATAAATATATACATTTTGTCATACATTAATATAAACAAAATATTAAACCGAACATGATTGATTTGTATGATGTGCTACATTTTTTTACTTAGCCCGTGTTCGACAGAAATTAAAATATAAATAAAGTTAATAATTAATTTTAATCACATATTTTATATGGTCCACAACCTTTGAATCACACGTTTCATTAATTTTTATCAAAATTTATTAAAAATTTAATTTTAATCTTCACAAACAGGGGTTTAGTGTAAAAATTGTATTTGAAGGGTAAGGTAGTAGTTACTTGTACAAAAAGAAAAATAACTTGTAAGCAAATTTTTTTGAGGTAAGCGAAACGTGCACATTTGACGAAATAGCCTTCAAAACAAGGCATGATTGTGATTGGATAGTAATGCTTCTTGATCAAGAAGTTATTAAGGTCAACACTTTTTTTTTTTGCATATTAAATTGGATAATTACAGAATTTAAAGAGAATATCTTTTCTTCTAGACACATCTTTAATTGGATGATTGAATTTTCTTCCATTTCCTGTGTCAGCCCTCCTTTAAAACAAAATTATTTAATTTTTATATTTATTATTAATTATACATTTAAATAATAAAATATTTTACGTATAAATCAGAAGAAATTCCATACTTTTTACCTCACATTCTAAAAAAATAAAAAATCATCATTCAAAACATCATTTTTTCTTAATAATGGTCATCAAACATGGGTTTAATGTCTTCTAGATAATCCTTTTATCGTCTTAAACTAAGTCCATGTTTGGCACTATCTTTATAACTTATTTATATAACCTGATTTTTAATCATATATTCTCTTGTAAAAAATATATATCATAAATTCATAACTTTTACTATTTTTAACTAGAAATTCTCCAATAAATATCTATTTTTACAAAAATTATTCTAAAAAATATCTAAAAAGGGTGCTCATAAAAGAATTGACAACGCATCCACTGTAGAATTTTTTTCTCACTTCACCAAGGGAAGAATAGAAGGGAGAAATGTATCAATTCTTGAACGGTCGACCTTAATTGTGAAATCAACGATCTCTAATTAATCTAGACAAGTACAAGTATACACGAAAAGATTATTATCTACGTGGGGATTTAAAGATACACATTGAAATTGGCCATTCAAAATTGTTTTTAATGTGATTGCATGTAAACCCATTGGAAAAAAAAATATTATAAAATATTTTACACCATAATTTTTCATATTTTAGCTGTACATTCTTAAAAATAAAGGAGACTTTTCATAAAATCAATTATTGATAAACCTCTACCAAATAGAGATTATAATATATTCAAATATCCTATTAAAAACATTTTTTTCCTTTTATTTTTAAAATATTGTTATCTAACATTAGTGATATTGAACACTAACTTAGATATCAACATATTTACATGTCTTATTAAATGAGTTATAATTCATTGTATTTAATTGAACATGCAATTTAATACCACTTAAATTATAGTTAATGCCACAGTTGCTAAATAACATCACTCATAATTTTAGGCACACATTATTATTATTATTATTATTATTATTATTATTATTTTAAAAAGAGTGACTTTTCACAAGATCATTTTTTTGATAAATCTCTACCCTATAGAGTTCAAAACGTATTCAAATATGATAGAAAAACATTTCTCTTTTCTTTTATCTTTAGAATAATGTTATCTAGCATCAGATATATTGAACACCAATTTAGGTGGTCCTACTAAATGAGTTATAATACATTGTATTTAATTGAACATACAATTTAATATCATTAATGTTGCTACCTATATTGTACTACTCTTAAATTTAATGATACTAAATAATATTATTCAATATCCCTAGTATTAAATAACATTATTAAATTAATCATATAATTTCATTTTCAATTGAACATATTATTTAAAGTCATTTAAACTAATATTCTAATATAATTAATACATCTTGTTATACGTACATTCTGATTTATATCCCTAACTTATTAAATTTACAATCTCATAATACCATTTTCTATCAGTAAATCTGTCATTCCTTATTCCTCGTTAAAAGGCCACATTAATCAAAATTTTCCTTTATTTCATACCAACTTTCACATATCAATATTTAATTCAATCATTATAACACCTTCACGTTATCAATCTGTCAAGAGAAGTGTCAAAAAAGTTGTTCAAATAATAATTCGTTCTTATTAACATCTATTCTACTTTGTTGCCTGGGAGGCTTGACACCCTACCTGCTTGACAGACATCTCACAATGAATAAATCTAAGTGTACAACATTAATTGATAACAATAGTTAACAATCATGTGTTGTCAAAATCCTAGCATATGATGTAGAAAACAGTTTTTTAAAATGGATATGATGATATCAAATAGGATATTGTCAATTAATATTGTACATGTAGCATGATTATCTCACAATAAGGGGGACGTTATTTTTTTGGCACTTTTATTCATATGGATCCCACGTGGATCCTACTCCCACGTGAACGTAGGTCAATAAAGGTGTTAATTTTTTTCAAACAAAGAAATTTTATAACATTGAGGGTCGTGTCAATCAATATCCAAAAATAACAGCAACACTCCCTTGTTTATCGTGCCACACGTGCCATCAACCTTATCCCTTCATAAAAACAAAACAGATCGGAAGCATTGCACCACGTCACACATTAGTATATAACTCCGCACCGCGACTGTCAATTACCAAAAAGCAAAATATTAGAAAAAGTAAAGCGATACCCGCCAGCGTAATTTAGCGAGGAAAAGAAATATAAAAGCTAAAATGCACTCGTGGGCTGCATCACCTGCGGATCGGAGGTTAAGTGCACTGATCAGACACCTCGAAGGATCATCGAACTCCATGGATTCCGATACCATTACAGCCTCTCCAACTTCGGGCTTTTCTGGATCCCGAAATTCTGTATTCGAGCATGTTGTTCGGGCCCCCGAAGATCCCATTCTCGGCGTAATTTACTAATTTTTCTTGTGTCCGTGTGTATTTGTTGAATATATACGCTGATTAAATCTTTTGATTTATTGCTGTTTGATCTTTTAATTTTTGAAAGAATGAATTTCGCTGATATTTTTTTTTCTGACAAGACATGGATAATAAAAATTTTGGTGTTATACATGTGAATTAATAGGTAACTGTTGCGTACAATAAGGACACGAGCCCGCTGAAGTTGAATTTGGGTGTTGGTGCTTATCGGACAGAGGTGAATTTTTCGTGCTTAATGTTGTGCCTTATAATTATGCAATCAGTCATATCTAGTCCTGGCTAGTTTTCGAGTTGATCGCCTACATGATATGTCGTATAACAGGAAGGAAAACCTCTTGTTTTGAATGTCGTTAGAAGAGCAGAGCAAATGCTAGTGAATAACAGGTGCATATAAAGTTCTGTTACTATCATTTGCAAAGATTTCAATTTGTTGATTTGGTGACTGAAGTCTGATTTATGTGCAGTTCTCGTGTAAAGGAGTATCTTCCAATTGTTGGATTGGCAGATTTCAATAAACTGAGTGCGAAGCTCATACTTGGTGCCGACAGGTACAAAATTATCTATTTTGATTTTTGCATGTCATATTGTAGATGGCTTGTCTGAATGTTAGGAAAAGATTAATTATGATTTGAATGAAAAGTTTTCTTATTTGCTTGTGTATGAACTTTCTCGAAGAATTTTGTTATCTGACACCAAATCATTGAACATATTCATGTAAAAAGTTTTAATTGTGACTTGAAGATAAAATGGTTGGTGAGGTTTGCTGTCTATCGATTAAACATGCAATTGTTCACTAGCAGTTTTGTAAATTCTCTCTCTTTTTTTTTTATTGATGTTTACCTTTTCTTTCTTTTTCTAAAACAGTATTTATCTTGCTTTCTTTACTAACTATAATTACACGAAATGGGTAGAAGTTCATACATAGATTATGTAACTGTCATGTAGACCTATTTTCAGTTTTCCACTATAGTTTCTACCACAATGAATTTTCTCTTCCAAAGGTATGCCTCGGTTGTCAAGAGAGAAAAAAGTTGTCGTGTAGAGGTGTAATTTTGGATTAGGTTTGGTTTTTAGGAGGTCCTGCCAAGCCTTTTCATTTGGTGTGTTTAAAATCTAACACGGGCTTTGACGGAACTGTTGGCCCAAATTTTTTTTTTGGCATAAGTTTGCATTGGTTTTTACTTTTTCATTTTTCTTATTAAAAATAAGGTCCCGTGTAAGCTGGCTGATGCGGGTTGCGTGCCTCTACAGCCTGACTCACCCACGGCATTTTTGCACCAGCCCCGGCCGCTCGGGCGGTTGACACCCCTAGTCTTAGTTGATTGATCACCAAATACCGGTGTCAGTATAACCAATCTCTATTCGTCTCTATGGTTTCTGGCTGCAATTTATCGGGGTGACTTTAGGTGGATGATGATCCTCTTACAACATTTTCAATTCCTTCTTCCCTTTTATAAAAAAAAATCCTAATGTGTCAAATTATATCATTGCTTATATTTCTTAGTTCCATTACATATGACTCATATCATGGATGGTGTTATGTAATCTCAATATTTACATGCTTGGACAGTCCTGCCATCCAAGAGAACAGGGTCACAACTGTTCAGTGCTTGTCTGGTACTGGCTCATTGAGGGTTGGAGGTGAATTTTTGGCTCGACATTATCATCAAGTAAGTGTAGATCCACTCATCCACCCTCTGCTTAATCTCTCTTTTCCAGTTAATAGCAATATGTGCATATTTGTCCTGAATTTACCTGTTGTACTATGGTTTGCAGCGTACTATATATATTCCACAGCCAACGTGGGGAAACCACCCAAAAGTTTTCACTTTAGCTGGGTTATCTGTAAAGACTTTCCGCTACTATGATCCAGTAACTCGTGGACTCGATTTTCAAGGTTCGAAAACTTTTTGCAAGATAAACTATTTAAATTTTTCCGAATTGAACTAATTAAATGTTCACCCATTGGTGATTTTGGCCGATAAATATTAATTTTTTCTCTACCTACATATAGACAAGGACAGAAGGCAGTTCCATGTCTGAATCCTTAACCATAAAACATCATATTTTTTAAAGCATGGAATCTCATAATGTAGAGCATATTTCTTTGTGGACTATGTTGCGTGAATAGAACTATGAGGACATAGTCAACTAACAAGGGAGTAATTTTCTGTTGGAGAGATTGCTAATAGATTTAGTGGGTGATAAAAGCACTCTTTCTGCTCATCTATTTCTGCTTCTACTTTATGGAGCATGACCTGCAGAGGATTTTGGATCCAGCATTTTAAGCATCTCTTTGTGTGTGTCTCGTGTTCTTTATATGTCATCAAAATTTGAAGATTTGATCGATGGATTTGTCTCTGTCGACTTTGCATGCTATTCCTTGATATGCATTTAAACAGAAGTACTATTAGTAATCATATACACTATGAGTGATGCTCAGACTCGAGCATGGGTACGTAACTAAGAGTCAGATCTTTTATTTTGATACGGGGACATGGCTAAAAAGTACCTAAATTTCGTTAATATGGCTTTTTGTCAACTTGATCAACCTATCAACATTGTTAATATGACTTTTTTGTCCACCTGGTTAACCTAAAAATATTAGTAGCAATGAGAACAATAATTCATTTGACTAAAATCACGGAAATTGTGTAACAACTAGAAGATATAAATCTCTGTATAAAGTGCCGTGTCCGGATGGAGTACCTGTACCCGTGTCACGTCGTGTCAACACAAGTACTCCGGTCATTTTGTTAAGGACCCAACCATTGATCCCAAAAGCCCAGGCTTAATGGGGATTGGAATCCCGCCCTTTTAGGACCTAACATTACCCCCCGGCCCAAGATCCGACGTCCACGGCGGCCCACTACAAGACAACCTTCGCTTTACCAGCCAGCCCAGATCCGAACTGCTGGCTTTCTCTTGTGTTGACCCTTCCGGGATTCGAACCCTTGACATGGGGGTGCTCTGATACCAATTGTTAAGGACTCAACCATTGATCCCAAAAGCCCAGGCTTAATGTGGATTGGAATCCCGCCCTTTTAGACCTAACACATTTCGAAGAGTTTGAGCATCGCAGTATATATATGCTCAAGTTTTTACATGTATTATGCGGTTCTTATTAATTAGTCTGACATATTCTTTTTGGCAAATGACAGGCTTGTTGGAAGACCTTGGTTCCGCTCCTTCAGGAGAAATTGTGCTTCTTCATGCTTGCGCTCACAACCCAACTGGTGTGGATCCAACTCCTCAGCAGTGGGAACAAATCAGACAGTTGATGAGATCGAAAGCATTGCTACCTTTCTTCGACAGTGCTTATCAGGTGGGAGAACCTTTTTCGCATCAAAGTTGCAAGAAGAGCATGTTTGGCTAAGCTTAAAAAGTTTACTTATAAGTAATTAAATAAGTTTCAATATATTTTTTTAGCCCCTATTTGGTGTAGTTAAAAATCATAATTTTTAGTAGATTTTGATAAAAGTTAAATGAAATATGTGATTGAAAAGTTGATAAAGTTGTGGGTTCCATAAAATATGTAGTTAAAATTAATTGTGATTTTGACTTGGATTTTTTTCAAAATTTTAAGCTACCACCAAACGGGCTTAGTTGTAAAAGTTGGACACTGGTGAGCTATTTATTTCTATAGGCTTTCAAATTAATCACTTGTTTGAGAATTTTTTTGTTTTAATAGAATTTGGAATAGTGATTTTTTGGACAATGGTTAAAAAGTAAGGAAAAGTTTTGGGATTACTTGTAAAATTATTTTCTTAGAACAATGTATGATTGAAAATGAGTTTTGGGAAAAAATGGGTTTTGAAAAAATGGGGCTTAAACAAGGGCTAAGTATCTTTTTTTCCGTACAAGTAAGAAAAAAGTTATCTGGACATATATTTGGATAAAAAGTTACCTAAAAGTAACTGCTACATTTTTTAAGCTAGGCCAAACATACTCCTAATCGTCACATCAATGGCATCTGATTCAGAGAGATGGACCGATCTATTCAAAATCATACGTTTCATTTTATATTGATTTTCAACATGATACTGTAGGGTTTTGCAAGTGGAAATCTGGATGCAGATGCACATTCTGTTCGGTTGTTCGTGGCAGACGGGGGCGAGTGTCTTGTGGCTCAAAGTTATGCAAAGAACATGGGGCTTTATGGCGAACGTGTTGGTGCCCTAAGCATTGTAAGTCATCTTTAGGAGGATATCTATATTATAGTTTAACTAGAGTTTGACCTTTTGGTGAGTTAAAATATCCATTGGTTACAGTCCCCTCTCCCTCAGAAAAAAGAGGAGAAAAAAATCAACAGCCTGTTGGCCACATTCTTCACGTATTCTATTTTGAGAGCTTTTTTCAACTATTTGTACCCGTGTGTTTCAGTAATGACTTACCTGCATCGCAAGTTCCATCTTTTCCAAGAACTGTATTTCTGTTTTCGTCAGATATGACATTTGTGTAGAATATATGAAAACTATCCCTTCGTTTTTGAATTTAAGCTCCAATATATTTGTATTTATGTTGAAACGAAATTTGTAACTGAAAATTTTTAGTGGATCATATTATTATGATGTGCTAAAATTATGGCTGTATATGAAGAAAATCATATATCTACAAGAAAGTACACCTATACAAGAGCTAAAAAATTCGATTTGTCGTTTAGCTTTTTACTAATGTCTTTTGTACCCTCTAATAGTTGAGGATGCACAATGGCATTACTCTGTCTGCATGTATAATAAGGACTATAGGTTAATTAGAGTGGTGAAAAAGTTTGTGATCTTTGTAATGTTATCCATTTTTCTTGTTGTCCAAGCCTATAAATTGTCATTTCCATGGTTAAATTGAGATACGATAAATTACTCATATATTCTCAATTTTGCAGGTTTGCAAGTCTGCTGACGTGGCAAGCCGAGTAGAGAGTCAGTTGAAACTGGTGATCAGGCCAATGTATTCAAACCCTCCCATTCATGGTGCATCAATTGTGGCTACAATCCTTAAGGACAGGTATTATACTATTTTGCATTAAACTCGTGAAATATGCTGTATATTACACCCTACTGTATTTGAACATATAAAGTTATTTGAAAGTGAGAATTGCTAATATCATCCAATTTGCTAATCTGTGGTCAAGATAATTTATGTTTATTAGTAACATGTCGGCAGAAATATGTACCAAGAGTGGACCATTGAGCTGAAGGCAATGGCTGATCGTATTATCAACATGCGGCAGCAACTATTTGATGCATTACGCTCTAGAGGTAATTGCTATTTTTGTTTCTCGTCCACCTTTTCAATGTCTTTTGATGTGCTGTGATTTCGATTGTTTAGGAGCCTTCTTGCTCTGCTAATAGGTGCAAAAACTCAAGTTTTTTCCATCTAGAGACCGAACCTTTTTATTTTCAAGTGACTTATGCCAGCAATATCAGTTCAGGCTCTTGAATTGTTTTATCATCTGGGCATTTGAGCTCCAATTCCAAAGTATTAGATAAACTGTTGCCTACTTTTAGATAGCAAATCGCTTGATTATTCTTTTTGAAAAATCTGATATCCATAGTCAAAAGAAAATTAAAACGTAAAGAATGTGTATATGATTGTTTATGACTCAAATGTTGAATTGCATCTGTACTAAACACCTGGCTGGATATCCATAAGCTGGACTGCCACACCCCCCAAAAACAACCCCCAACATACAGAAGTTCTCAGATCTTTTAGAATCACGTTAAAATCATTATGTATTTACTTTTTGTATGTATTGGCAGGCACACCTGGTGACTGGAGCCACATTATCAAGCAGATTGGAATGTTTACTTTCACTGGGCTCAACTCTGAGCAAGTAGCCTTCATGAGAAAGGAATACCACATCTACATGACATCTGATGGGTAACCTTGTCCACTGAGAATTTCTAACATCGAACATTGCATGCCCCCTTTCCCCCCCAAAATTTAATAATCTATATAATACCTAGAAACAGAAAACTTATTGAAGGACAGCCATAAATTTGAGAAATAAAATTTTTGGCTAAGCTTAAAAATAAGTAAAAGTTACTTTTAAGCAAATTTAAATATTCTTGGTTAACTTATTGTCAAAATAACTGACTTGCCGATGATTTGCTTCAATAAAAACATTAATGAAACTTACTTGTCTACTTGTAAATAAACTTCGTACACACACGAGACAAAAATTGATCATCTTCTTAAAATGGAAAGTCGAGATGATTAAAATTAATTTAAAGAAAGTTTTACCATTTAGCTCCTTTATGTCAAAGATATTAGCAGCTTTGATACATTTATTGGACTGGAATTTTTTTCCTTTTTTTTTTTTTTTTTTTTTTTTTTTTGTAGATTAGTTAACTTCCTGCCAAGCAAAAGAAAGTTACGATTCTATTAGAATAGCTCACTATTTAGTTGCTAACTTTCTATTGCTCGGCTTTTAATCCTACAGGCGAATTAGTATGGCTGGTCTGAGTTCCAGGACAGTACCACACCTCGCGGATGCTATACATGCTGCTGTAACCCGACTTGTCTGAGGGTTTTGCTCGTTGGCTCAATTTTTTCTGCAGTTCGCCCCTCGCGTAGTGAATCACAGCAGCCAATGCTCACAGAGATTGCAAGAAGTATTTTCTGAAATAATAATAATAATAAAAATAATTGCCTAACAGAATTGGAGGTTGAAACAAATTACTTCCCTGGGATACGTGTTGTGTATTTTATATGATAAATTTTAGATGGAAATTTATGATTTATCTAAGTTTCCATTGAAGCTACAAAATTGACTTGAGTTTGCCCTGTGATCCATTTATTTCTTAAAAGTTGTGGATGAAGAAGAGGAGCATGATTCCACAAGGGATTATGTCAAGAAACAACTAGAAAAATAGACTCAGAGATGGAATTACAAGGAAAGAGCAAGTTGTAATGTTATATTATCTCAACTGGAAATTCCCGGTCGTAAAAACATCGAGCAAGAATAGATTACTAGGGAACTAGAAAGTTAACTCTAGGCTGGCTGATGAAAGGCCGCCGGAACTTGATCTGCTGTGCCCCTGGGATGGGAAAGGTGAATATTGAGTATTCGAATTTGGCGGGGGTGGTGCTGCCAATGGCAACATCTTATTGCAATACAAGATAGAGGTGCAACTTACACTGAAATTTTTGGTTCACATATTCAAGAGCATTTGGAAACGTATTCATCGAATTTAACATAGTTCTTTATTTTCTTGTTTTAATTTGAATAAAATGTGTGCAAATATTTTTTATTCCATTTAGTCGATGTCATGTAATAAGAAATTGACTTCATAGGAAAGATAAAAATGATGACATCTGGCGTATGTTTAGGAGGAGTGAAAATTCTCTCTCCAAAACTCAAAATAATCCAAAGTTATGGTTAAATGTGGAATATTTTACATTTTACATATACAAATCCTTTATTGTCCCCCTTGACGGCTATTTATGTCAATTTTTCCAAAGAAATTTTCTCTGAGCAAAGAAAAGGTCCTTCAAAGATTTGGTATCATTGGACCTTTCATCAGTTCATAAAAGAGCTTCATAGACGTGATTAGGCCCAAAATTTATTCGAGAAATTAGGCTCATTACCCTCAAAATATTTACATCAATCATTGTCCGTGCGTGTGTGTATGCCCCTGTTTGTTTCCACTAAAAATTAAAATTCTTATTGTTGCTACAGTAAAAAGAGCCGCAATCTTTGAAAAAAAGGGTAAAAAAATAATAATCTATTTTTAGGTTAAAACAATGGGAAACAAACATGGGCTATAATCTTGTTACGAAAGGAGAGAAAAGAGGAGAATATAAAACTCAAAACTCAAAGTGTGTTTTATTGAAAACCAAACCTAATATTTATAGAGTCTAAAATAAGAGTTACAATTAAAATGAAACATACTTTTTACACTAAATAAAATTTATCTATGTATAATGATAGTACTAAATAATCATCAATAATTATCTCATTATTTTACAGCATCCCCTTTTAATGATTATTTGCACAATAAATGCCTCGTTAAAAACTTTGTTTGATAAAATTATAGCGAAAAAAAAAATCAAATAGAGGGAAAAAAAAAATAGTACGGTTAATTGTTAATATTTTGGAGTATAAAGAAAATGTCATCTCATTAAAATCTTATTAGGAAAACCCAATAGGGCAAACCTAGATTAAAGAAAAAGAGTACAACTATTCTACCTGATGAAAATCACTAAAAATCTTTAAGTCGAAACATTCCAATTTTGTGAACCAATTTCTTAAAATGTTCGCAATATTTTTGTGAATAAATCAGTCACATTGTTACTTGAGCGAATTTGTTGAATATCGATATCGCAATTCTTCTGAAACTTATGAAAGAATTTTGTGCTTCGTCCTATCACTTTTAAGTATGTCTTCTTTGAGTTGTGTAATACAAACATCATTGTTTTATTACAAAATTGTTGAACTATCTTTTGTTGAAATTAATTCGCACCATGCTTGGATATGATGGTCATGTTCCTCAACCATACACATTTTCAACCTGGTTCACGGATTGCGATAATTTCAGAATGATTTGAGAATGTTGCTGTCAAGAATTGTTTCATAGATCTCCATGATATAACTGTTCATCCACTTGTAAACACATATCCCGCGGTGATTTAGCTTTACATAGGTCAGAGAGACAACCTACAGCAGTATATTTCACTAAAGTATATCCCGACTTTTGAAAATAAAATAATCACAAATCAATAGTAACTTTTAAGTAATAAAAAAGTGTATCACCATTCCAATGTCTTTGAGTTGGTGTATATTTATATCTTGCAAAGTAATTTATAGAAAAAATTATGTCGGGTCGAGTGCAGTTTGTAAAATAAGCTAATACTCCGATTGCACTAAGATATGATACTTTAGGACCAAAAACTTTTTCTTCATCTTCAAATAGACGAAATAGATCTTTTTCTCATCAAGTGATCGAACCATCATGGGTGATGACAATTGATGTGTATTATTCATATAAAAACGTTTTAAGAGTTTTTCTGTATATATAGTTTGATGAACAAATAATCTTCTTGGTAAATGTTCAATCTGCAACTCGAGACAAAATTTGATTTTTCCCAAATTTTTCATCTCAAATTCATTTTTCAAATAATTAGCAATTTTGTTGAGTTCTTCAAGAGTTCCAATTAAATTTAAATTATCATCATAAACAACCACAATTTCAAATCCAATATTTGTTTTCTTTATGAAAACACACGGGCAGATATCGTCATTTTTATAACCCTCCTTCAACAAATATTCGCTAAGGCGATTATACTACATGTGTCCGAACTGTTTCAATCCATATAATGATCTTTGTAATTTAATTGAGCACGTGGTTCTCGGACACGTATCATTTATTCCAACACTTCCTTCGGGGGCTCACACACACACACACACACATACATCACCATCAAGTGAACCATACAAATAGATGCCTATTACATCGATAAGTCGATGTTGAGCCTTTTTGATACAATTGGACTAATTAAGAATCTAAAAGTGATGATATCCATTACATGAGAATATGTTTTCTCATAATCAATTCCTAGTTTTTGTGAGAAACTTTGAGCTACGAGTTGAGCTTTGTATCTTGCAATTTCATTATTTTCATTTTTCTTTCATACAAAAACTCATTTGTATCCTATAAGGATTACATTTTCAGGCGTTCGAACTATATGTCCAAACACTTTTCGTTTTTATAAGGAATTTAATTTCGCCCGTATGATTTCTTTCCATTTTGGTCAATTATTTCTATTTTGACAGTCTTTAACATACTATGGTTCAGGATCTTCATTTTGCATAATAGCAAGAGCTATGTTAAAGGCGAACATATTGTCTATAACAACATTATTTCGTGCCCATAATTTATGAGAACACATATAATTTATTGAAATCTCATTATTTTCAAACACTTGTGGTTCTTTAGGAATCATATTTTCAAGATTTAATTGATGAGTCTTTTCTAATGTTATTCTTTTTAAAGTTTTTGGTTGATTTTTCTCTTATACTTTTCTTTTTCGAGGTGCAGAGTATTTTGAATCAACTGGTCGACTAGGGACATCAATTTTTGTTAGAATATTTTTTGTTGGAATATTTGACTTTGTCAACAAATATACCAGTTAATTGATTTACAACTATTTACAAATGAATGATTTTTTTTAACCTCTTGCTCACATTGATCGCTACAGGGATCAAAGTAAGATAAAGTTGTTTCATTTCAAGAAATTTTATCTTATTTTTCAGAATACAGTTTTTCCTCTCCCAAAGTTGGGGGAGTCATTTCATTAAAATGACAATATGCAAAACGTGTAATAAATAAATCATCCGCTAAAGGTGCAAGATACCTAGCAATGGATGGTGAAGTAAAACCCATATAAATCTAAGTTTTCATTGGGGACCTATTTTAGTACGCTGTGAGGGGTGAAATATGGACTTGGACATCATAACCAAAAACTTGTAAGTGAGAAATATTAGGTTCATGACCAAATGTCGTTGCAAATGTAAATATTAATAATAGATAGTTGGTATAATACGAACCCATGATGCAGCATGTAATATGGCATAATCCCAAATAGAAGTTGGGAGTTTTGTTTTCATAAGTAATGGTCTAACAATGTATTGTAGACGTTTAATAAACGATTTTGCTAAACCATTTTGTGTGTGAACATGTACAATTGAATGTTCAATTACAATCACAATTGACATAGAATAATAATCGAATGCTTGTGATCTAAATTCACCAACATTATCAAGACGAATTGTTTTGATTGAATAATCAGAAAATTGAGCTTATAATTTGATGATTTGAGCAAGTAATCTTGCAAAAGCTATATTCCTAGTTGAAAGTATGCAAACAAGTGACCATCTAATAGAAGAATCAATTAATGCCATAAAGTAACAAAATGGTCCACATGGTGGATGTATTGGTCCACATATATCTCCATGAATTCTTTTCAAGAAAGTTGGAAATTCAATATTGACATTTGTAGTCGAAGTTCTAATAACTAATTTGCCATGCGAACAAACTACACATGAATAATCATTATGTAAAAGAATCTTTGGGTTATTTAAAGGATGTATCTATGAGTTGTTTATTATTAGACGCATCATTATAACTTTTAAATGTCCAAGTCGATCATGCCAAAGTATAAAAAATTTTGTGTTAATGAACTTCTGATTTTTGACAATATTTGATTCAATCATTTTTAGAAATATATATAGTACATGCCAAATGAGAGTGTATGAAAATTTTCTTTTATCTTCTTCTGGTAAGATACAAAATAACTTATGCAAAAATATTCAACTTTATTTTTTTGCATCGTCTCAATGTGATATCCATTGTAGCGGATATCTTTAAAACCAAGAAATTTTTTTCCTAGATTTGCTAGAATAAAATGCATTGTCCATATAAAATTTTGTAATATTTGGTACAAGCTCTTCCGAAACTTTCAACGATATTCGATGCACCTGATATTTCAATAATTATCTCATTATTTTACAGCACCCCCTTTTGAT